AGACTGTGGCATAGACATTGTTGGCTCCTCTTAGCAAGGTTTACAGTGAGAACTGGGAATAAAAAGCAGAGTGGAAAGATTTGAAAAAGTTGAAAGTTGGCCAGAAAAAAAAAGTGTGTGTAAAGTTGGAGCCCAGGAAGGTGTGGTTATAAAGAAATAAGCACCATTAAAACGAAGTTAAGCACTTTGCACTGGGACGATAGGACAGATGTCTTGAGGCCATCTCAGGAATTGGCCACACCTCCCCCACTGTAGGCTCAAGATGCAAAAGCTCTTTTGAAAAACTTTGCTTTTGAGAAGACAAAGGCAACCTGCTTGTGTGGGCCAGCTAGAAAGATGTTTGCCCAGGATTCATTTTACCATACTCAGCTGTGCAGGCACTCAGAAATTGCTGAAGCCATGGTCCCAGGGGGTCCAGCTGTTGCTCAAGCTAGAAGCGACCTTGGTATCATCCACATGACTCTGGGTTTGCAGGAATGTAGAATGTAAGAGTTGTGTGGTCATAGAGGCTTCTGTCCAGATTTCAAAGGAGAGACTGTGAGGCCAGGTAATTGTGTGGCCGTGTTGGGATCCCTTCACATAACCTCAAAGAGGGCGGTGTGTCAAACTTTGATAGTGAATCCAAAGCTGCAGCATATATTCCAGAGAATTAGAGATGCCGGGAACAACAACAAAATGTTTGTTGAGAGAAGCCACAGGCACTGGGCAGAGCCAACCCAAGAGTGGCAATGTGGGATGCAGCCAGCAAGGCCTAGGGGTGGGACTGGCCAAGACCTCTGGAGCTCACATCATGCCACCACCTGTCCTGATGCCAACAGAGAGCCACAGGATTCAATATTTACCCTCTGGATTTTGGTCTTGCTTCAGTCTGATTCCTCCATGATACTGTCATATTTTTCTTTTTTGAAATAGGAATGTTTACCCTCTGCTGTTGCATTTGGAAGTATTTTACTTTCATTTTGCATTTATAAGGGGTCACATCTAAGAGTTTGCTTTGAATCTCAGAGGAGACTTTGGACTCGGACTCCTGAGCAATTCTGGAACTGTTCAAACTTTGGCGACTGTTGGAGATGGACTGAATGCATTTTGCATTGCGAGATAAGCCTGAGTCTTTCAGGTTCAGGGGAAGAGTGTTATAGTTTGAGTCTGGAATGTCCCTCAAAGGCTTGGTTGTTGAAAGCTTGGTCCGAAGCTATTGAAAGGTGGTGAAAACTTCTGGAAGAGAAGCCTATTGGAGGAAGTATGTCCCCGGCAGTATGCCTTGAAGGGTATGTTTTGTCCCTGTCCCTGACCTTTCTCTTCTTTTCCTTCCCTTTCTTCCCTTTCTCTTCCCTTCCCCTTCCTCTACCTCTCTCCTTTCCACTTGTCTCTCTTCTCCTCTCCTTTTCTCTCTCCTCTTCCCTACTCCATGAACTGAGCAACTCTGCTCCACCACACCCCTCTTACCGCCTGTCCAGAAAGCAATGTGGCCCCTGATCCAAAATCAGTCTTTCCTCCTTTAAGTTGGTTATCTCAGTTACTTTGTCACAGTGATGGAAACCTAACATATTACGTCAAAATAATTGTCATCAATTAAAGATTTATTAATGAAAAAAAGCAAAACCAAAATGAAAAGAAGAAAGCACAAGATAATTAAATAATAATAGTAATAAAAATCTCAGAGGATGGGTGTCTTTTTAGAAAAATATCACACAAATCCAGAAGCCAAAAACAAAAGATTAATGAATCTTACTATATACAAATTCTTAATTATGCCCAAAACAAAACCTTCCATAAACAAAATCAAAATGCTGTGCAACAATCTAGGGAAAACATTTGCAACTCATAAAATAGTCATTTCTGTAATTTCCCTAATAAAAAACTCCCACCAGACAATCATTAAAAGGTCAAATCGGGCCAGGGATTTAGCTCAGTGGTTTCGCCGCCTGCTGTGCAAGTGCAAGGACCCGAGTTTGATCCCCGGTACCAGTGCCAAAAAAATTAAAAAAAAAAAGGTCAAACCAACAAAGTGAAAACAGGCAAAGTCTATGAATAAAGAATTCACTGATGGGGCCAGGTATTTAGCTCAGTGGTTCTGGTGCCTGCCTTGCAAGAGCAAGGTCCTGAGTTCAATCCCCGATGCCTCCCCCGCAAAAAGAATTCATTGAAAAACTGTGTATGTAAGTGGCTCTCAAACATATGAAACGATCCGCATTCTCACTCAAAATAAGAGATAAAAATTAAAACTACACTGAAATTCAATGTTTTACTTAAGAAACAGGCAAAAGAAAATTTTTTTAAATGTAGCTAGCATGCTGCCTTGAAGGTGTGGGAGAAGAGAGTCTCTCATATATTAATTACTGTTGATAGTATCCATTCACATAGACAGATCTAGGGGAAAATTTGACAATATCCATGGGAAATTTAGATTCACAGTGCTTTGACTTAGTAATTCCACAACAGATATTTACCCTACATATAGAGTCATGCATATGTAGAATTATGTATGTACTGAGATAGTAATTGTTATTTGCAGCAGGAAAGTAATGTTACCAATTCAAAGGAAGATGTGTTACATTAACTGCAATTCATGGTTGTACTATTTTCAGACAAGCATTTTTTTGTGTGTTGATATTAGCAATCTTAGAGACAGATTCTTGGGTTAAAAAATATGAAAGAAAAATGTGTTTAATGTGCGGTGCATATGCAGTCTCATTTAGCTGCCCCACGGCTCCATGAGTTCATCATCCAAGGCACTTTCATTCCACAAACAGCAGGCCCTTTGCAGTCCCAGCCGAATCCAGCAGGTGTCCATGGGCAGCCTGGCTGCCTCTCTGTCTGCAGGTACGAACCCCAGGAGGAACACGGGGAGGGGCAACGCCTGCACCTGCTGCTAGTTAAGCACCTGGAGATGGACACCAGGGGGGATTCAGTGCACAGGCAGCGTGGCTGGAAGCCTGGGTGAAGACCCAAGCTGCGGCATGGTGGGGACCTTCCCCAGGGCTGAGGGCCAGCTCGGGCTTGGTAACCCAAGATTTCAGCCTGCAGGGCAAGAGCACCTGCCATGCATAGTGCAGCAGCTTTCTCAGGGACAGCACACGTGGGCCCTGGAAAAGTGAGTCTCACCAAGAAAGCACAGCACAAGAACACTTCCTCCAGCTCTGCTGTGGAACGCTCCCCAAGAGGGGTCCCCAGGGGTGGCAGTGGCCCTGCAGGCCTGGGATAAACATGAACTCCCAATCTCTTTCTGTTCCCGCCCACCTTTAGTCTCCACTGGTGTTGCCCACTATTCAAACCAACTGGATGCCAGCCCAGCAGGATGCAGAGCAGGCCAGGCTAGGTGAAGAATAAGCCTTGGCAAATGATTCCTAAAGAATACCCAGCACAGCTGCCATGGCTCCGCACCTCCCAACACCCACACAGGTATCTCCATCCTTCAGCATTCACCCTGACTCTGTGCTCACAATGACCGGTGGAATTTCTCCCCTTGCCAGGTATGACATCAAGTCACTGAGAAGCTGATCTGTGCCACAGAGAACTGATTCATTATTAGATCAGCAAGATTACCCAAGACAACTCCAAAAGTAAATACAAATTCAAAAAGAAAACCAAAATACCAGGAAGGCATTTTTCTATGGGCATATTGTTTGCACACCACTGAAAATCACTGTTGGTATGAGGTGTTCACAAAAGCCAAAAAGCACTGCTATAATAAATTTGATCACCCATAAAATAGGATTGTTTTAGTCCCTGCAGGCATCACAGGCATAAGGATGAAACCAAATGATGTTTGAGAAAGTATTTATTCAATTGCAAAGAACTGGACAAATATGTTTGCATTATTTGCTTAGAGATTTCTAAGAAATTCTTTATACTTTTCTCAACAAACATGTATAAGAACCTACCCTGGTCCAAGGCTCTAGCTACAAAAACACGAGAAGCCCCAGCCCTCAAAGAATTCACACTGTAGTAAGCACAGGGGCCAGCAAACCCACGGTCCATGAGCCTAATTCTGTTTATGGTTTTAAATGTTTTTTTAATCCAAAGAAGAATAATACTTCATGATATGTTAAAATTATCCAAAATTGCAAATTTTAGTGCCCATAAATAAAGTGTTATTGGAACACAGCCATGCCCATTTGTTTACATATTGACTTGTGGTCTGGAGCTATAACCACTGAGTTGAGCAGTTAAGACAGAGACTGTGTGGCCCACAAAGTCTAAAATAGTTATTATCTAGTTCTTTATAGAAAAAAGATGTTGCTGACTACTGGTCTGGTATAAAATAGATCTATTAAAAAAATAACTTCAGCTCAGCTCGTATGAATCAATCCAGGGTAAAAAGTAGAAAAAGATCCCATCTGGCTGTAGGAGGGGAGGGAGCAGAGCCAGGAGACCCCGAAGCAAGGTTTGTCAATCAAGAGCAGATTGGAACAGGATGTCGTGGCAACTCCTGTAATCCTAGCTTCTCAAAAGGCTGAGGCAGGAAGATTCCTTGTGCCTAGGAATTCGAGGGCAGCCTGGGCAACATGAAGAAACCCTAGCTCAAACAAAACAAGACAAAGTAGAGTAAATTTCTACTGTCCGCATGATACTAAGGAATGTACATGTCAGTGGCACATTTTCTAGAATTTTTCTATCCACTGCTGATGGTGGATGACTACAGATCCCACCAAACATTTGCACTTTTCCTGGGTGTCTAACACCCCACACTTGCTAGACTGCTAGATTGATGGAAGGCTCAGAATCTGCAAGCCTGCCAACATACACACTTACTGCCACCAACCACACTAACTAGCAACAGGTAGAAGTGAAGGGTTGAAGAATGACCAAAAGCACTGGGTTGAAAATCATGGCCCACACCTGGAAGGCACCGAAGGTCTGAGACTAGATGCTAAGCCTGCTCTTAAAAGCAGTCAAGAACAATGCACCTCAGCAAAGAGCAGCCCCAGAGAGCAAGCTGCCAAGGGGGCATCTCAGAAAGTAACACTTCAGGATGCACATCTCTCATGATAGGCCAGATACCAGAACTCATTTCCTCTCCCCTCCTTCTGATCATGAAATGAAATGTTGCTCCCTGAAGGAGCAAGGAGCCCATGCCACTGATTTGCCTGAAATGAACTTACTGTTCTGACAGACAAATTATTTTGTGAGCGAGTTGGCACTGGTTGACTCTTTCTTTAACTTCCACAGGTTAGCCTGGTCCTTGGGCTCTCTCGCTCAATGGCGGCAGATGCAGTTTGGAGGGACAATCTCCTGTGGGAATGTGGGGAGCACCCCCGAAGACGATCAGAGGGAAAGGGAAGACTTGATGGATAGGATGGCAATAACATGCATGGGATGTGGCTAGCAACTCCCCTGCCAGCTCTCACAAGTTCAGTCAGATGAGACCCTGGGAGCTCGGGAGGCTCCATGCTTCACACGTGCTCTGAAGGGCCAGCCCAGCAGCCCGCCTTTCTGCCTGTGGTCACCTGGCAGTGAGCTGGGTCCTGGCTTCCCAGCTGGCCGGCATCAAAGGAGCCCTGCCCATGCCCCACCTCCTACCCTGGCACTCTGGTCCATCTTTCCAACTCCCCTTACACCCAAGAGCCAGTGGAATCTTTGCACAAAGCTTGGCTGTTTCCATCTTCTGGAAGCTGTGTTTCCTTCTCATCCTTGTGGTAAATGTGTATTACACTCCTCACACCCCATGGCACTTTGCTTGGGATTGTAAAGGAATGCTGCTCATGCCCGATTCTTCCCTAAAAGGAGATGGTGAATTATTAGCAATGATAGCTATTCCATAGCATTTTACAGATTTTTAAGTTTATTAGTACATGTGTGTAGTACATAATGTTTACACTCCTTGTGGAAAGCTGGTACATGTACATCATTTGGCAGATTTTAAAGGCTCCTATCCTAGACAACTTCACAATAATGCCATGGGGAGGATGATTTCACTCCTATTTTACAGACACCACCTCTGAGAGTCAGAGAGCTGCTAAGCAGCAAAGCCCAGGTGAGCCCAGCTCTTCAGAAGGGAAGTCTTGGGTTCCACAGTCCAATACTGCCCCCGCCACACTCGGGACAGAGACACTGGCTGAACTGAGTGCATTCCCAAAGAGTTAATATTAGAAGTTGCAGCAATCTCCCTTATCCATGGTTTGGCTTTCTGCAGTTTCAATTACCTGAGGTCAACCACAGCCCAAAAATAGTATATGGAAAATTCCAGAAATAAGCATTTCCTCTGTTTTAAATAACTTTTATTGCAGTATATTATAATAATCGGTCTATTTTTATAATTGGGTGCTATTGTTAACATCTTACTGTGTCTACTTTATAAAGTAAAATGCATCATAGGTATGAATGTACAGAAAAACCTAGTATCTGTTTTTAGGGTTCTGCACCAGCCATGGTTTCTGGCTCCCTGGTGGGTTGTAGCATATCCTCCATGGATAAGGAGGAACCACTAGATTTGTATAAATCTGTTCCAACAGAGCAAGATTCTCCCTTAAGGGGTAAAGACTAGATAGGAACTGAGTAAGTGAAATGCAAATCTGCTTGTCCTGAAAGTCTCACATGAACACACTGCCCTCCACCTGTCGGCTTTTTGGTTTCTCACTCACTCTAGCTGAATATTCAATGACAATGGCTGGGAAAACTGCCACTGTTGGCAACTTCCTCAACAGAGTTCTCTAATGTGAGCATAGAGAATCATAATGGTCTGAGCTGGTAACTAAGATGAATTTAAATATTCTGTGGGATACTGAACTACCTAAAGCACACTCATGAGTCATTAATAATTTTCTTTAGAAATATCTGCAGTGAATGATTCATCAAAAATGTTTTTTTATTTGAGAAATTCCTCTGAGAATTCTAGATTCTGAAGTAACTGTTTTTTAAACGATATTGTTTTTTATATGCCAAATGCCTCCTGAGAGTCGAAGATGAATCTTGAATTGCAGATTATTTGAAATCCCCGAATGAGCAATGGTGCACACCACGTCCGGAGCACACACTATGTGGAGACAGCCCCAAGCATTTCAGACTACTAGATACATCTCATTCCTACTACAGCCTCTGAGGCCAGGTCACTGCCTCTTTGTAGATGAGAAACTGGACATTTGGAGCTTGGTGTCAGGATCCTTCCCAAAGCATCCAGTTAGAAGGTGGCTAAGCTGAGATTCCAACAGCTCTGCCGGACACCTAGGCTTGCGAAAGAAAGGCCAGCCCCTTGTTGCACCTGCTGCAGGGTGTGGCCATCTCCAGGCAGAGCTCGAAATCGCCCACCTGCTTCCTGGGAGCCACCCAGCATTCTCGCTGCTTTTTTTTCTTTTCCAAGTCCATGCAAAAAAATCTCCTTCAGAAAGGATCTGAGACACTTGCTAAAGGAACAAAAATGACCAGAGAAGCTTGAAGTGTTCTCAGGGTGTTCCAGCAGAGGATAAGGACCACATCTGGGAGACATCAAAGACATAGCAGGCAGGGACTATGGAATTTCAGGCCCCAGGGAGTCAAGGGGCAGGTATTTGGAAAGGCAAGAAGATCCAAAAGTCACAGCAATTTCCATAAAAACCTCTACCCTCTCAGTGTCATTTCTGTACCCTACTCATTGCCCTGCACGCCCAAATTGTGAGGAGCATGAATTGCTCCCTGCCTGCTGGTTGAACTTCTGAGTCATTTTTTTAACCTGTATGTAGCACGCACCACACATCACACACTGTTCTGGGCACTTTCCAAATACTAATTCATTCGCTTTTCATGCCAATCTTATGTGGTAGGTGGTGTTGTTCTCATTGTGCCACACAATATGTAACTCACCCAAAGGCAAGAGAGGTGATAGAACAGAAATTTAAGCCCAGACGGTCTCCATCTTATTCCATTTCAATATTCAAAGACGAAACTAACCTTTAGCTTCACCAACTTAACAGCAGAGTCTCCAGATGCTTGAATGACATGAAGACAGTCCACTGTGAGAGGAGAAGAATTAATGTGGAGTTAATGTTGATGGAGAGTAGTAAGGACTGTTACGGAGACTGTATTTGCATTCTTGAATTTCTCATAAATAATAGTAAAATTACAGGGGAAATTCAGAGAGCTAGGGATCCCCCAATGATCTACTCTCCCCCATATAAACATAATATGATATAAAAAATTAAGAATGACAAGAGCTACAAAACCTTGAAGAGACAAAGAACCTGCCAAAAAACAAAAGACAAAGGGGATGTGGGAAGGAAATGCCCATGTCCTGCTCCCCATGTAGAATTCCATAGAATCAGGACAGCTGTGTCAGGGACAATTGGTCAGGTAAGAGGAGGCCTGTGTCCCACAGGATCAGAATGTTCTTTGGTACCTGGCTTCATCTCTCCATCCAGCCACCCACCCACCCATCCATCCACCCACCCATCCATCCATCCACCCACCCACACATCCATCCATGCACCCATCCATCCACCCATCCACCCATTCATCTATCCATTCATCCATCCATCCATCCACCCATCCATCCACCCACCCATCCACCCATCCATCCACCCATTCATCTATCCA